AAAAAAAAAAAAAAAAAGAACACTATTTTTTCTGGCCCCATTACATTCACGGGTGGATTTTATAGATAAGGAATGTATGTGCTCCTCAGCTTTAAAAAGGTTTTTTAAAAAATGGTTGAGGTACAAGAAAATTATTTTATTTTAAATAAATATAGATTCTAATATATGACTTTAAAATGGTTCATAAAAAAACTTAAAAATTATCAAAAAGTTGTAGAAAAGATGGCTTAAGCATGAGAAGATTGTTTTATCTTAAGTAGAGACCCCATCCTAGACTTCAAAAGGTTAAAAATAAGAAGAAAAAGCTCAAGAGGATGATTATAGGCCTTACAATGAGGCAATGAGCATATCTTTGTTCCACCCCTGCTTACGTTAAGGAACTAATATTGCCTTGGTCTTTTAAGCTTGAGTTATTCCATAATAGAAACATAAATTCAAAGTTATACCTCTTGACCCAAAATCATTTGGTGTAGTTTTTAAAAAATATATTTTGCCCAAAAAAAAATTAAAATAGTTCCAAATTGGATGGAACAAGGCTTACTACAATTTTTTTTAATAATAATAATAATAATAATGGAGCTAAAAGTACAAGTCTTTTTTTTTTTTTGTTTACTATTATAGTATCCCTCATATGATCTTAAGGAAATTTAAACAAATAACTATTTTTGAATATTAATCTAAGACTTAAAATCTAAATTTAGTTTACAAAACAAAACAAACTTATTAAAATTAAAAGTTTAAACTTACTTATTAAGACTAAAAATTTAAGTCTTCAATCTTCTATCAACTTTTTAATTACAAAAACACAAAACACCAAAGCAGACAATAACAACTCGAAACCCCACCAAACCAAGTTGGAGGGAGCGTCCCATTATATTCATTCAAACAAATGGGTACAAATATGATTTTAGATGAGGTTAGACAAAATGTGCACAAATGTGATTTCATATGGAGAAAGGCAATTAAGTTAGATAAGATAACAATAAAAATTCATTGGAAAAATAATTGAGGGCGGAAAATTTCAAGTCAACTTTGGAGATCTGAAATTGGAATTGAAATTGGAATTGAAATGAAAGAAGAATGACAGCACCAATAGCCCCACGCGTCTTCCTTTAATTGTAAATTTATGCCTCCCTCCCACCACACAAAACCATGCACTTTACAGTTACACGCTTATAATGGGAATTCTTCCTCCGGGACGGCCCATCCCACCATTAAAAAAAAAAAGTGATAGTTTTTGGAAAAAAACTAGTGTTAAGCCCCTAGATTTTTCTCATTTTCTCTCATAAGCCCTTAAAGAAAAATGTGACACGTAAATTCTTAATTGCTTGGATTTGAGCAAATTAATTCGTGTGTTAACAACATAATCACTTACAGTCATGTAAACTAAGTAATAATTTTTTTTTTTCACTTACATGGTAATTCCTTTACATTAAAAGGTTAAAATCTTATTTTGCTTCCTCTGTTTTAACAAAAAAAACTTAATCTCTGTACTTAAAAAATCCCTTTTTAATCCCTAAAATTTTTTATCTAATCCTTTTTTAGTCTCTCTATTATCTTTTTATACATATGACATATTAAATAATGAAAATTCTAAAGTAAATAGATTAAAAATGGGCTTTTTTAAAATAAAAGACGAAAGAGGAACTTTTTCAAGTCTCTTTTTAATCTTTTTACTTTGAAAGTTTTTATCATTTAATGTGTTATATATGTAAACAATAATGAAAAGACTAAAAAGTGAACAAGATAATAAACTTTAGGGCTTGAAAAAGAGTTTCTGAAGTAAAAGCAATAAAAAAAGGTTTTTTTTGTTAAAGTAGAAAGATAAAAAATAGGGTTGGTCTTAACTTTTAAATGTTAAGGTAAAATAAAACTCAGCTGTTTAACTCTTAATTTTAAAAATTTTGAACGTATATGCTGCATGTATTTAAGTACGAAAGAATTACCGCATCCACATCTAAGTGTAAATAAATTACCGCATCCACATCTAAGTGTAAATAAATTATTTCACATAAACAATACAAAAACAAATGATTGTTTAACTTATATAACCATACATGATTCTACTTTTAATACATGGACTATTTTGCTCAACTCCAAGCGTTTAAGGGCTTACAAGCCATTTTTTCTTTGAGAGCTTATTAGAGAAAAGAGGAAAAAAGCCTAGGGCCTTAACATTGGGTTTGCCTTCTTAGTATTTGAAAAAAGAAAAATTTTTAAAAATACCCTGTTTATTACTACTGCGAAGCGCTCTCTATATTTTTTATTTCTCTTCTCGTCGGATAATTACCCAGCAGAGGAAGAACGGAACGGAAGAGGGAGGGGAGAGAGCGGAAAAGACCGAAGTAACCTTAACCTCTTGTCGAATTTTCCCTCTTCTCTCCCCATCGACTCCGTTCACCATGAACGAGAAGGCCAACGTCTCCAAGGAGCTCAATGCCAAGCACAGAAAGGTCCCTTCCGATTCTCCCTTATTCATAACCTTTCTGTTTTGATCATATTTCAGTTTTTCAGAGTTTTTTGATCTGTTAGTTTTATCTTTTTGTTTGGTTGTTGAGAAGATAGGAGGAATTCAGTGATTGATCTTTGAATAACTGTTCGATTTTGATGATTAGGAAGCATATGAGAGCTTGATTTGTTTGATTTTGTATTAATTTGATCTGTCTGTTCCGGATTCTTGTATGGATTTTGATCCAATCTTTAGCCGAGATGATCGAACGTAAACGATCTGTTTTTTTATGCATTTCTTCAGAAAAGAAAGAAGTGAAGCTAAATAATCGGCATCTTTGGTTATGATATGATGCAATTGTCAAATTCAGATATCTTATTTTCAATTTTTTGATAGATTATGTAAGAAAACCGTCAGATCGATTGCTTGCATTATTGGCAGCATTGATTATCTTTATTGTTGTGAGATCTAAGTTAGCTTTGTCTCGGACTTTTGGATTCTGTTTAAGTTATGAATTTCTGCCTGGGCATGATGCTAAAGCTTCTTTATTTGTGAATATGAAGGAAAAATTGGGTTATTCCATGCATGCAAACCTGATTGCAGGTGCTTTTATTCGATTTTCTTCTTCCATGTTGGTATCATGGCATTAGAAAGCTGGGGGATGGGAGGGTTCTCAGATCTGTGTATAAATTCTATGGATTATTAATTTATGTACATTTAAATTGAGGTGCTTGATGGGTTAAGTCTTCCTGTTACTGTAAACGTGATCTATGATCTTTAATTATAGGGTTCTTTCATAACTGTTAAGTCATCGGTTCTTTTTTTTTTTTTTTTTTTTTTTATTTGTAGTTTTGGTTCCTCTAATGTTCGATAGTCTGATTTCCTGATTAAATTCTTATTCTTTTAATCTAAACATGCAGATTATTGAAGGTCTTCTTAAGTTGCCAGAGAATAGGGAATGTGCAGACTGCAAAGCCAAGTATGTAACCTGAAAAATTAAGAGAGATGTTGAGAGAGTAATAGTGGAGAACTAGTAGAAATGTGTTTTTTGTTTTTTTTTTTTGGGTACTAGTTATGAATATATTGAGATTTTGTTGGTGAATGTCTGATTCAATTGCTGACTATTGTTTGGTTTCTATGCAGAGGTCCAAGATGGGCCAGTGTGAATTTAGGTATCTTTATATGCATGCAATGTTCTGGGATACATAGAAGTCTGGGGGTACACATATCAAAGGTAATATTTGGTTTCCTAAATGCAACATTTCTGAGATTCCATAGGAAGACAATTTAGTTGCAGGGGTTATCTTGACATATATTCAATCCATTCTTTATAGCCATTTGCCTGTTAGTTGACCGTTATGGAATTTGGATTGTGATTTATGTATTTCACTTGTTGCTACAGGTTCGATCTGCTACCCTGGACACATGGCTTCCTGAGCAGGTTGCATATATTCAATGTAAGCTTCTTTACATTGTCATGAATTTGAATTGATTCTGGAATAGAAGTAACTTGCCAAGTATGAAAATTTTGTTGTGTAGCAATGGGAAATGAGAAGGCAAATGGTTTCTGGGAAGCTGAGTTACCGCCCAACTATGATAGAGTTGGAATTGAGAATTTCATCCGTGCTAAGTAAGTGTCCTAGACTTTGTTGTAATCCAACATCAATCTCTTTACTGAAACAGTTCCAATGCAGTTCCCTCATTTGCATCTAGAAGTTGTTATAATGCTAATATGCTTTTCTATGCCAACTGTTTTTTCATATTCTTTTAGGTATGAAGAGAAGAGATGGATTCCTAAAGATGGAATACCCAAATCACCTCCAAGAGGGCAGGATGAAAGGGTTTCTGTTGTGGAGCGGAGACATGTAGAGAGGGGTGGACAAGGGTATGCCAATGGTCCAGAAAGCTCATTTGAGGAAAGGAAGACTGTTCAGATGTCTAGGATAAAAGAAAGTACTCCTGCAGTAGCAATGAGTGTTCCTGTTCCTCCCAAAGGACTTGAGCAGGTATTTATTTTCTTCTGCTGGTTATCTACTTATATTTCTAATAGCCTGCATATTTTAGGTTTATGCTGAAGAAGCCATAGTTTTTGTTTTATCTTCTAATGTTTAAACCTAGACAATCCAAATGGAAAATTGCATTCCATCTTTTGTTAGTTTTTTTATTATTTTTTTTTTTTTTCTGTGCTTGGCCTCTCATTGAGTTTGACAGCTCCATTTTTTAATTGAAAGAAAAGTTGTTTAGGTTGGTGACTTGGTGCCAGTTTTGCAATGTTGCGTGTCTTTAATGCTCCATTTCGTTATGTAATTTCTTGATTTGTTAAATTTTGGGAACATGAATTACAAGGTCTTCCTTTTATTTCTTTACTTTTAGTTAATAGATGTAGCATCAGTAGAATTATGTAATGAACTTTGGAGGATGGAAAGGAAAACTTAAGTAGGAAAAGCATCTGGCATTTTCACCATTGTTTTGGGTGGATTGCAGATCACTTAAGTAATGTAATCCATCCAATAGTTTTGCAAGTCATTGCTCATGGGATTTATGACCATATCTCAGAAGCAATATGAAATAGGACCCATTATGATGCATATCGTGCTATGCATGAAACAGGTTAAGCCCCTCCCAAAGCCTCAACATGTTGTTCAGAAACCTGAACTAACAACAGTTGCACCGGGAATAGAGGCAACGACGCAAACTGTAGATGCTGCACCTGCAGTCACTCCCCCTAAAGTTAATTATGCAACAGACCTTTTTGACATGCTATCCATGGATGATGGTCCAAGTGAAAACAATTCAGAGGCAGCTTCTGGTGATGATAATGCTTGGGCAGGTTTCCAGTGTATGTTGTAAAATTTCTCCTTTTCTGGCTTAATGGGATCATGTAACAATTTGTGCTTACTCTTTGCTTTTGGTACTCTTTTAAATACAATATGTCAACATGCTTCTTGCAACCACTTCAGAATTAAGAGATTATGGTTATAACTTTTGTTGGTACTCTACAATTTAGCAGCTGCTGGAGAAGCATCCACCAGTGACACAACTGGTCTGGCAAAACCGACTGAGAGTAATGCTCAATCGGCTGCTGGAATTGAGGATTTATTTAATATCTCTGCTTCAGCAACAACTCAAGTTGCAGAGAAGCCCCAAAAAAATGTAAAAAATGATATTATGAGCCTTTTCGAGAAGGTATGTGTTGCATTGTCATTTATAGGTGTCTTAGAATTTCTTCATGAGAAACTTATGATTGGCTTTATCATCTGCTAGCAAAGTTACGAGTTTGCACAGTTTTTCTTTTTATGGTTTCTTTGGGCTATTAAATCACTTTGAATGCAAAAATTCATTGTTCGATATTGTCATTTGGATGTGTTACAGTCAAATATGGTGTCACCCTTTGCCATGCATCAACAACAACTTGCTATGCTGGCACAGCAACAGTCCCTTCTTATGGCTGCTGCAGCTAAATCTGTCCCTGGAAGTACTCAACAGGGGACTAACATCCCCACTCAGCAGCAACTTGCTATGCTGGCACAGCAACAATCTATTCTTATGGCAGCTGCAGCTAAATCTTTTCCTGGAAGTACTCAACATACTGCATCCAATGGGACCAACACACCCACTCAGACTTGGCCAAATATTGGCCACCAGATTCCTGGGACAATGATGCCAATGGGTGTGCAGGCTGATATGCAGAAACTTATGCAGGTACACTTAATTCTCTTTTTACATCTGATTGTTGTGCTTTCTAGTTAATTGTATCTGATGAGGGTCTCATATTGAACATTTTCTATTGTTTTAGGCTATGAACATGGGACCAACATATGGAACAGGAAACTCAGTTCCATACCCAGCATCCAGGTACATGTTGGCCTATATTTTCAAGGGATTTCATTTGGTCTTCATTGGCAACTATTTTGGTTGATAATTCTGGCAAGTCAAAAGATTTTGTTCTCGACTCCATTTTCATAATTGTTGGTGTCATCCTTTCAGCTTTCATTCATTGGCACAAGCAACTCCGGTCAATGGTGTTGCTACCAGCGGAACAAATAAAACTCAATCAACAACCCCAATCTCAACATCCAATTCCTCACAATCAGGTAAAGAATATGATTTTTCCTCATTGACACAAGGGATGTTCACAAAACACTGAGCGAGGGCTTGGGGAGCAATACAGCGTGGGTTGTCATACTACTACACCAAAAATAGTAACGTCACAGAAAACTAGTTCTTGAAAGTTTTTCTTTTTCCCTCTCCTTGCTGGGGATTGTAAACTATTTGTAGAGGCAGTTGCAGTTTTTACTTTCGTATTTGGGTGTTGGCTTCATTTGTATTATGAGTAGAGAGGTATTGAAATAATAAAAGCTGAGTTTAGATTTATTGGATTAATCATCCCTTTCAAACATGTTTTATACCATCATACTTTGATTATTTTGCTCTACAATATTTAGTAATCGAAAATGTTGATTTTAATTCTTTTGTCAGTGCATTCATTGCTCATTCTATAGAAGCTTCATCTTTCTGCATGAGTTTACGGTTACTGAAACATGAGAGTATGAGACATTTGATTTGCATTCTGAAAAGATTAATAGTATTTTACAAGCTTCTGTACATGTGCTCTGCATTTATTTTATTGCTAACAGATTGGTACTGGTTCTACAAAAAAAAGGCAAAAAAAAGAAGATTAGTACTGGATTCACAGCATTGGCTTCCCTTTGGGCAATAGGCCCAAGTTCTCTATTACCATTCATTTCATGAAAGAGTACATGTTAACTCAACCAAAACATTTTTTAGGTGGATTTTAAAGGTTTCTTAAGTGGTTAAGAGTTTGATATTTGAAGTTGGAAACTCTAAATTTAAATTTTGAGATGGATGAAGAGGTATTAAGAGAAAGGAAGGGGCTATTCTGTACTATATAACTTATCTAATGTAATAAAAGAAATTTTATTTGGGGTCATTATTTTGATTTTGTTTGGTTATATACAATTTGACATGTTTGTAACAAGTCAAGTGAACTCACTAGTTATGACAGATAACTCGTTGTGTGACACACTGACACTTGTTTTTAACACTTTTTTTATATATCTAATATATCATAATTGCGACATAAATCACTCTTTTAATTTTAACAATGTATAAACTTCCTTCGTCAATTCCAGGGGTACCCAATGTAGTTCTTGAGTTTTTGGTCAAGGTTATATTAGTGCCAAATTCAGTATGCTCCTATAAAGTTTTCATGATGAGGCCTAAAGTGCCACTTCCCCGCTTATCAGCTGGTCTTTCATGTTTTTTATTGCTATTATTTTTATTTTTTTGGACATTAGAAGTTAGCTCAATGGACATTACAAAAATTTGAACTTTTTACTTTAACTTAATTTTTTTTAATAATTAGTAAGTACTAACCCTACCAAATTTTTGTGGGTGTTCCTTTATTAGTTTCCTAGTAGTATTCTACGACCTACAAAGATTAGTCATTTATGTAGAATGAATCAAATTGGATTAGGTAAGTTTTTAGTAACCTTATTTGAGTCTTTTAGTATTATAAAAAAGTGTAATGTAGTTTAGATTATATACTAAATTGCAGTACCTTAACTATTGAATAGGAGGAAGGCTCTTATATTAGGGGACCCAACTTTCATCAAATAATTTATATTTTATAATTTGATACAATCTAAACTGTAAAATAAGATTTTTTTTTCTTTTAAAGTTATCTGCATTTTCATTTTTATGTGTATGTTATTATGAATATTTCAACATTTGAAATTTCAAGAAAATGTATGTGTGAGGAAAAGAAAGGAAAATTTAGGTGTTTGTTATTATCAGTTTCCTAGTAGGAATAGTATTTTATTAAGATTTGTCTTTATTATTATTGGAATTGAATTGCGTTGGGTAAGTATTATTTATTACCATTATTGATTAAATTTCGATTCCGTAATTTCTTGATTTAATTAGGATTATATTGTTTCCAATTTTCATGGATGCCAATTTACATGCTTTTCATCACATTCAAATAATGATGACTTTCTGAGGTTGGGTTTGGAGATTGAGAAAGAAGAGATTATTCTTTGACCTTGGCTGCAGTTGGAATTGTTATTTTGTTTTAATGGCTGAACAAGCTCAGATAAGCGAGGACAGAATCAGTAACTTACCTGATGAAATTCTCCATCACATTATCTCCTTCCTTCCAACAAAACTTGCAGCCTGCACCTCCGTTCTATCTACTAGGTGGAGGTATCTATTTGCTTCAATTCCTAATCTTGACTTTGATTTTGACAATTGGAATCGGTATTTCATGACAAGTTGGACGCTTCACAGAAATTGGATGTATGTTCTAACTGCTTTTATGAGTTTTGTAGATAGAGTGTTCTTCCTCCGTAGGAGACCATCTCTAGATAGATTTTGTCTCCGGTGCTCCCATCGTATTGATCCTATGCGGATTGATTGGTGGATACAGAATGTATTGCAGCGTTCTATCGTAGAGCTTGATTTGTCCATATGTTTGGATTTAGATCTCCCAAAAGAACTACAAACAAGTTTATTTACTTGCAAGACTCTAGTTGTTCTGAAATTGTCCTTGCCTGATGATTGTTTACGATCCCCTTCAAGGGTCTGTCTCCCTAGTCTCAAGGTTCTTCACTTAAAGTATCTTTACTTTGAAAATGATGATTTTGGGGAATGGCTGTCTGTTGGCTGTCCTGTTCTTGAGGAATTGAATGTTGAAGCAAAAAGATCCTTGGGGAAAAAGTGCAAACTTACTGTTTCTAGTGCATCACTTAAGAGACTGACCATCCAATTCCCAAGTTTCACCCGTTGTTCAGCAGCAGGCAGTGTTGAGATTATCCTCAATGCTCAAAGTCTTCTCAGCTTGACATACTTATGCCATGCTGATATTTGCATTTCATATATAAACTTGCCATCTCTTACAGAAGCCGGCATTGACTTCGCCAACAAAGCCAGTGATGATAATACCACTACTCCTGCAACTTGTCTAATGAAAGGATTAAGCAATATTCAATCACTTAATATCATCTCTTATAAAACCCTATGTGTAAGTGTAATTTCCATTCAGGCAAGTATGTATGAGTTGTATACCTTTCAAAGTCAGCAGTTTTCCTTAGCCATAAAACTGCAGCTAACTGACATTTTTCGTTTTGTAGGATCTTTATAAAGAAGAGAAAATGGTGAAATCCGTTTCTCTACCTTTGTTTCGTAACATGACTTGCTTGAAAACTTCTCTCGAGACAAATCAAAGCATTTTGAGCTTAGTTCGTCTACTCTGGCATTGCAATTTCCTACAAACCCTTGTTATCAACCTGGTATGAAACAGTTACCTTACAATTCATACTAGTCAATGCATTGGTATCAATTAACATGACTATTTCTCTTTATGTTTTTTTATCAGGAACATCCATCAAATTGGGAGACCGATGACTGGTTTAGACTAGAGGAATTTGGAACACCTTACTGTTTTCTTTCTAGCCTAAAGTCCATTAAAATTTCGTTATTCAGTTGGCATGAATCTGGAAAACAAGTTGTCAAATACTTCTTGATGAATACTGAAGTCTTGGAAGACATGACAATTCGTCTCAATATCTATGATGGGAAAGAAGGACGGAACCAAGAATTGAAAATTTTGAAGGAGTTATTGATGTTTCCAAGAATCTCAAAGAAATGCCAAGTTAGAGTCGTCTAGATTTCTTGCTACTTTTTTGATATGCTGAATTTAGCCTTCTGGTTATATCCCATTTTTTCTCATAGCATTGTATTGTTGTTCCTTTTAAGATCAAATTTTACTTACATAATTGGTATTCTTTTCTCTTTTTTTTCAAGACCAAGTTTTTAACCTGAGTGAGGGACATTTGTGATAGCAATGCTGCTAATGCAGACTGTGTCTGACGAGTTGGACCCAATAACTAGGTTGTTTGCGGAAGCAAAATTGGATGCAAATTGAAAATTTCATCTTGCACTTGCTGCATTCTGATTCTGAAGAGATTAGTATTGGTCTGTACGCATGGGCTTTTTTTTTCTTGAGTTGGGTGCTATAACCCCAAGTTCTCTGCCATTCATTTCATGAAAAATTGCTCTTAACCTAGACAATTTTTTTTTTCATTTCATCTCATCGTTGTAATAATATATTTACAAAACAAATAAATAAATAAATTACTTAACGGTCCAGCACTTCGGGACCTATTGGCCCATTCTTGCAGAACGTGCTTAGAACTATCAAGACTTGGGTTATAATCCCAGATCCCCTTTTTCCAAAAAAAAATTCCCATTTTTTGAAAAAAAAAAAAATTACTTAACGAAATGTTGTGATATGCAAGCCACAAAGTTAACTAAAGGACAAAAAAATAGTGAAAAAAAAGGGGTGAATTTTAAGGGGTAAAAACGAAATTTACTTAGTTTAAAAACTAAAATAAAAAAATCTAGATCAAAATTAAAAACCAAATTTAAAAGTTAATAATCAAAGAAAAACTGTTTTACGAAGTAAATTATATATAATTTATCTTATAAAATTCTTTAAATATTTTTTATTTTATTTTTATTTTATTTTATTTTATTAAAAATATTAAAATAATGGTTAAATGTTAGATTTGGTCCCTCAACTTTAGTGAGTTGCACATTTTTTATCCCTTAACAATTTTTTGCACTTTTTTGATCCCTTAACTATACGAAATGCACTCCGTTAATCCTTCTGTTAATTTCGATCGTTAACTCACTCACGTGGCATTTTTTATTATTTTTTTAATGACGTGGCAAAAGCAAATTGAAAACATGTTGACGTGGAATTTTTTTTCATGCCAATTCACATTATTATTATTATTTATATTTTAAAAAATTAAATTAATATAATTCGTTCATTTTTTTCCTTTCTCTTTTTCCTTTTTTTTTCTTCCTCTTCTTTCTTCCTCTTCTTTCTTCCTCTTCTTTCTTCCTCTTCTTTCTTCCTCGTGGGTCATTGAACCCTCTGTTGGGTTCGGTGGAACCCAAGCGGGGTTCCACCGAACCCAGAACCCAGCTCCACTTTTTTTTTGGTTTATATGATTGTTTGCCGTGAGGGATTTTTGGGTAACTAGTTTTTTTTTCTGTTATAGGATTGTTTGCCAAGAGATTTTCAAATTGCAGGTTGTTGCGAGAGATTTTTGGACAATTGAGTTCAATGAATCGAACTGGGTTCTGTCGAACTTCAATCTTGAAAATGGAAAGAAATGAATCGCGATGGGTTCTGGCGAACTTCAATCTTGAAAATGGAAAGAACACCATGTCGAACTTCAATCTTGAAAATGAAAAAAACATCGAAAAATCTTGAAAATGGAAAAAACACCGGAAAAAATAGAAACAGTAACCGATGGCCAAAGGAGTAATTGTTAGTGGTGATGTGGGACCCATTGGATGGATTTAGTGCCTTTTTGCTAGGTAGCATGTGACATGACAAAAGTTTTATGCATGTCACCACTTTTTTAGGTTTTGCTCTTCACATCATAAAAAAAAATATAAAAAAATGCTACTTAAGCAGGGTTAACGGCTCAAATTAACAGAAGGACTAACGGAATGCATTTCGTATCGGTGAGGGATCAAAAAAGTGCAAAAAATTGTTGAGGGACCAAAAATGTTCATTTCTTAAAGTTAAAGGATCAAATTAAGCATTTAACCTAAAATAATTTTACAAAACCAACAACATACCGTTTATTTATAAAATAATTTTTTGATAATCAAATTAATAATAAATTTTTTAATTTGTACTTTTAATATATAAGTTAAATATTATTTAATATAATATTTGTATTTAATTTTATACAAAATTTTATCTAATATTCCAAAT